ATGCTAAGCATCAGTTGTTATATTATTTTAATATAGTATAATTTAAAACTCCCTAGAATATTGCTGGCCTTCCAAAAACTAAATATCAATGTCTGGAGATTTCTGCATAAGTTTTATTAGATATTACTATTTATGTATCATATTATCTAAGGTGAATCTATATTGATTAGGAAGAAAGTTGTTGTATTCAATATCTTATTACCCACATGATAATACTACACTATTCCTTCTGTACATCACGATATTAAAATAATTTCCTACTAAAACCTGTTCCATGTTTTAAATTCAGAGAAAATGTAAAGCTGCCAAGATGTCAGCCTCAATACTATTTTAAGGATTAATTAATTTAGGTAACCATATGGTGTACTTATTTTCTGTATTGGAAGTGAATTAAAAAGATTAAAATTCTTTCAATTGGGAGAACAACATCCATCAAATATTAATTGTTTGTTCTTTGTAATACTCTACCTGGTTCTAGGAGAAATAAGAGTTTCATGTGAAAGCATTTTCCCACTGACTGAAATTCATTTCCCAGAGTGTTCTTGCTTCTCAGCCATTTCTGTGGAACTATTTCTGAATTATATCTCACCCTTCCTTGCCTTCTCAAAATTGCTTATGCAGCTGAGTGAACCAAAGGGCATAGGAAGCCACTACATTCAGTACAACTTATTTCTAGATACTTATATTTTGCAACAAGATTTAAGGATGCATTGCAGCAAGAGAGAAGAACCACAAATTTAAATTAAAATCCAATATATACGTGCATCAGGTTGTGAAATTCACAGAGATGATTAAGGTAAAATGTAAAACTTCAAAGAAATTTGAAGATTATAGTGGCTATTCGCAGGCCAGGGGTTCACAGTCCTCCCGCTAGAGGCACCACAAGGAAACAGTGTCACATTGCATGCTTAGCAGAGTTTATTACTTTAATAGAGACGTGACCTTGGGGTTAGAGCCATGTATGACACTCTGTGTATTACTGTAAAGTAGACCCTGCTGGCACTTTTGTTGGCTACTTTCCTGCCAGACTGTAAAGTCACCCATCCCCATAACTGTTTCTCCATTCACAAGTTTATAACATGCTTCCTCATCTTTGATACTTTTCACTTGTAGTATCTGAATTTCCAGAAGTTAGCAGTGGAGCACAGATACTAACTATAATGGTTTGAATAAAAATGGCCCCCATAGGCTCATATGTTTAAATGCTTGGTCATCAGTTGGTGGAACTGTTTGGGAAGGATTGGGAGGTGTGCCCTTATTAGACAGTGTGTGTTACTTGGGGTGGGATTTGAGGTTTCAAAAGCACATACCATCCTCTCTCTCTCTCTCTCTCTCTCTCTCTCTCTCTCCCTCTCTCTCCAGCCTGCTCCCCTCTCTCTCCGCTCTCTCTCTCTCTCTCTCTCTCTCTCTCTCTCTCTCTCTCTCTCTCTGTCCTCCACCATCTATCCCCCACCTCTTTCTTGTTCTCAACTACTGCTCCAGTGCCTTCCCTGCCCGCTTGTTGCCATGTTCCAGGTCATGATGGCCATGGCTTCTACTACCCTCTGAAGCCATTAGTTCCAAATTAAATACCTTTTTTTTATAAGCCTATGGAGTTTTAACACAGAAGTAGAAAAGTGATTAAGACACCAGCTCACCTTTATTCCACAGTAGATAAACTATCCATCTCTTAGTGAGGCAGCACTTCTCCCTGGGAAAAAGTCCAAGAAATATTTGCCTTGCCTTGCCAGACGTGTCTTTCTCATTTTGAGTTTCTTCCAAATTCTTACCAGTTGAGGCTTCTGGAAGCTTGGCTGTGGAGAAAGAGGAGTAGCTCATTGGTTTTACACCATTTCTTCATATACCCTTTTGCTTATTATTTTAAAGGGGCCAGTGCTAGAGATAGTCCAAAATAGAGAACATGAGCTATCTGTGCTTAAACTATAAACCACGTGTGAATGTTTGAGTGTGGATGGAAACATTTGCTGTTGTGTATAACTTCAGAATAATATTCTACACAGACTATTTTAAATATCTTAATTTCACTATGCCTACAAATTAATACAATAAATAAAGACAAGATAATAGTTTGAAGTAAAGAAAATGTACTTAGAATATTTTATTCTATTCTATGTGTTAAAAAATTTACCACTATTCATTAATTCTCATGCATTTATAGAAAAGTACTGACTCTTGGGTCCTTCTCATCATCGATATTATAATACAAGTATCACCCTTGTTAAATACGAAATTCATTAAGTGAAGATCGTGCTAGAAGTGTCATAAGATGGCTTTGATTACCTGTGTATTGTTAGGACTCTCATTAGTTATTGGAAGTCTTTCTCCTGCCCCATTTTTATAATAACCTGCCTGGACTTGAAGTTCCTTACCAGATGTTTAGCATTTCCATAATAATAGATCTTATTAAAGGTTCTTCTAAAGTCATTCTGTAAAGATGTGGATCAAATGAAAAGTGACTTGAATAGGATGAGGCCCCCATGATTATCAGCAATTGCTGAGCAAGAGACAGTAGATTTTGAATGCTTTGCTTCTCTCACTTGCTCTGTGACAATTTCCTCTTACCGGCACAAATGTGGAACCTACAGTTTGTATGGTGGTCACTAGCATAGTCTCTAAAGTTATAAAACACATTGAGAACTTTGTCAGAGAAATTAAGAATAGCTGAAATAAATGACTAGGGGAAAATTGGTATGAAACGATCCAGTGTGGTTCTGACAATTCTAGAGTCCCTAAGTCCCTGCCTGTAGATGTGCTCATCAACTGCCTGTCTTACTGAACTTAGGAGAAACTATTAGACTCATGCTGATGAGGTAATCCCACAAACAGAAATCAAGGCCTGTGGATTCTGGAAGGAGCCGAAATAAAAAGGCTTGAGTTACCTCACAGTTCTGAGGGCTAGGGTAATACTAAAAGTGGCACAAACCTAAAATCAAGACAAACAAATGACATGTTTCTCAGTTCCCTGAACGTGAAAGAACGGTTCAGTCTCTCTAGTGCTGATGGTTTTGAATATTACATAATAAATTCTGTATATTAGTGCTACACACTAATTGAGAAATTAGTGAATTTCTCAATAAGCTGTTACTTTTCCTGTGAAGAAAAGCCATATGAGTTCAGTACAAGACTCCATGGCAGGTAAATGATTATTAAATGCCAGTATATTTGTCAACTTTAGGATAGTGTTCTGGGAGGGCATTTAACAGTGGCTAAAAACTCCTGGTATAATGCTAACTAACCAGTGTAAAATGGGTTCAGAACTGAATTTTTAGTAAATAACAAGCTCCTATAGCCATTTCTAAGTATAAATTCAAAGCTTACTGAGTGAAAATCTATTATTTACATAGGAGTGCTAATATATGAAATAAATAGAATATTTGAAAAGTCGTGTGGGGATTGGCACCGCATCCATAAAAGCATTATTAATTACAAAACTCTTGTCACTGTGCATGCTGTAACCATGAGCTCCCAAGCTCCTTTGCATATTATAGTTAGGGATTTCTACCATTTAGAATCTGCTTTAGAAACAAAATAGTTATTAAAAAATCAGTTCCAAATGTGCTTATGTATTGATCAGTGTTAGTAAGAGCAATAATCCACCAATTGTTTCTGTTTGACATTTGCATGCAATATCTTAGTCTCATTAGTTTTAATATTTAAGGCTATTTGAGCACTTTAACAAAGCTATATAGAGTTTTTTGTTGGTTTTATTTTGGCAGGGTTGTAACTTTGTAGCTAAGCAGTAGGACGAAGATACTTAGGCTTATCTGATAGACCATTCCGATTTCCTGTCCTTCCCGTTTATTTTTAGTTAACTTATTATACTGTCCTAAGTATTCCAAGTTTGGTATGCACATGAATTTCTAGCCATCTAGCCCAAGTGTGTCACCAGTCTCTGACGTCTCCTTGACTGACAGCTTGTAGCTCTCTGTTTCATGAAGTCATTGTGAGACCGTTTCAGACAGTAACTACCCTATGTCCTGTTCTGTGGGATGTTTGTACTATTAGGTGCATTTGCATACCCATTGCCAAACAGTCATCTGTCTCCTTCCTACCCTCTAATATCCACTCTTCTACTCTCCTGGGAGGAAGCTTTTGTCCCTTTCATATAGAGAATGCACAGCATCTGTCTTAGCTGATAGGCCAGTCCAAGCATTTCACCACAGATTTCAGTACATCATTCCTTACCCTTGAATAATATTCCACACATCGAGTCCATATCTTGGCTGCTGTGAATAGTGCTGTTGTACATGGAGGACTACAGGTGACTCTTATGTATAATGGTATCATATCTTTGGTTGCTTACCTAGTAGCCCCTCAATTGATTTTTTTAAACGGCTTTTCAAAGAGGAAATGTACTTCTATGGTCCCTAAGTGTAGCCTGTTCAGGGACTTCCAAAGGTGAAGATTTTGAGGCAGCATAGAATCTTCCTTGTTGTGGCTCAAGTACAGACTTTCTGAGGTTTGCAAGGGAAAGTATTTAGCTTGAGGATTTCTTTTCCGTATTGAGGCTTAAGAAAAACAACATCAAAAATACTTGGTTTAAATGTGTGTGTTTTAAATGTCTAATGTCTAGTTAATGAAGGCTGACCAGATTTCATAGTTTACCAGGAGCAGCATGTGTAGTGAGAGCGTGGTGTATGGAATAAAGAACTTCTATTTGCAGATTTTTTTTTTAAAGTTCATAATCTTAGGTAGTCTAGAGTGATATGTACCTCTGCACTGTGTGTCTCTGATCTCATAGGATAAAGAGCCATTCGGGGTAGAAGGCCTCCGATGAGTTGCACTGCATTCTAATGTGTTTTTGTCTGAGTCCCTTCCTACAGGGTGGGAGGACAGATGCTCAGGACACAGTGGGCTGGAAGATCTGGTATTCACCTTTTACTTGGGGAGTGTGCAGCCTTGCCCCCTCCTTCCTCTGCACCTCAGCAAGGATAGAGCATTGTACTCTTCACCCATCAGGGCCCAGCAGTGACCCTGCAGCCTCTCTGCTTTCCTCCTAGTGCACTGACAGGCAGAACTCACCAGTCACATCGCCAGGATCCTCACCCCTTGCCCAGAGAAGAAAGCCTCAGCCAGACCCTCTCCAGATCCCCCACCTCAGCCTGCCACCAGTGCCTCCTCGCCTGGATCTCATCCAGAAAGGCATCGTCCGCTCTCCCTGTGGCAGCCCCACAGGCTCCCCAAAGGTGAGCCCCCACCATCAGAAACACAGAAGGCAGCTCTTGCATTCTTATGTGTACCATCACCTGTGTCTTAGGCTGTAATTGTTTGCAAATAACTGGGTAAGTTTCTCGTTTTCTTTATGGCGAGCCTGCTGTCATATCTCTTGCTTTGTTACTGTGAAAGTACTATAAAAGCTACATAATTGCTCAAACATGTCTGGAGACCCCTGATTTGCTAAAATGAACGGCAACGTAAGTACAATATTCTATATAGTGGATTTAAAAGGTCATCATATGCATTACAATAATTTGCATGCTGCTATCAAATGGTATTTTACACTTATTTTCATAATGCCAAGGCAAGAAAAATGTGAGGGGAGTATATTTGCATAAGGGCTCGAGGTGTGATACATTATCACCCATGCTTCAGGTGACTTAGAAGACAGAATCATATGTACTGCCTTTAAACTCGGGAATTAATTACAATAAATTACAATATTTGCAAAGTAATTATTTTACTGTTTAATATTAAAGGTGTAATTTTAACTTAGGCCTAGAGTTCATTTTAGTTTTATGAGGATTCTTTTAAAATTTAATAGTAAAAGAGCATATTTTACTTTATTAAAGGTAAATTTATGAAAACTTAAATACCATTTGCTAATATGCTTACAGTCTGCAATTGCTAAGGAGTACAATACAATTAGTGCTGCTTATTTGTCTTTAATCCCGTGTGACTCCATACAGGATAGAACTTCGAATTATGTAGACATACAACAAATTTGTCTTCCTGGGCTAAATAACTAAATAAACATGCAAATAAACACTAAAAGCCCTAAGAGGTATGCAAATTCCCCTTCATATTGTTCTCTAACAATTACACTGACAGATACTTGGTTTTTGTTTTGGTTTTTCATTTGAAGAATCCAGAAAGTCAAGTGATTCTTGTCAGCACTTGCTATGCCATGTAGATCTTCACTGATCTAGTTATACTGTTGAAGAATAGCAAAACAAAAGGCCTAAGCAAATGGCCCATGTAGCTTTCATTGAACTGCAAGGAGGAAAACAAAAAGTATTTTTAAAACCTTATTAAATATTTCAAATCATTTCACTTTTAAAAGACTTTTAAAAACAGTATTAGTGGGTTTTTCAGTGTGTCTGTCGAGTCACAGAAATTAACAAATAAAGTAATCATTTCCTTGATACTATAATGATAGCCAAAGTATATCATTTTCATCCTCTGCTTCTTTCTGTATGATTTCTAGAACTTTTGCATGTATATTATAGTCATTTATACAAAATTCTTAATGTGGTATTTTGATGTAACTTTTTCATTAATTTTTTAATTTTCATTAGTAATAAAAGAAACTTATGAAAAGTCACTTGAAAGCTTATTAGAAATCTAATAATACCACATTATGACTAGAGTGCAAATTCAATAATATGAGCCTGAAAGTCTTTTCAGTACATGGTACAATTCATTTTTTGGTTTTGTGTTTTGTCTCTTGTGCATCTCTTTAGTCTTCTCCATGCATGGTGAGAAAACAAGATAAACCACTCCCAGCACCACCTCCTCCCTTAAGAGACCCTCCTCCTCCACCAGAGAGGCCTCCCCCAATCCCACCAGACAACAGACTGAGCCGACACTTCCACCATGGGGAAAGTGTGCCTTCCAGGGACCAGCCAATGCCTCTTGAAGCCTGGTGCCCTCGGGACGTCTTTGGGACTAATCAGGTGATGGGATGTCGCATCCTAGGGGATGGCTCTCCAAAGCCTGGAGTCACAGCAAATGCCAACTCAAATGGAAGACACAGTAGAATGGGCTCCGATCAGGTCCTTATGCGGAAACACAGACGCCATGATTTGCCTTCAGAAGGAGCTAAGGTCAGTCACTGTTCAGTGCACAAGTCAGGAAGCAGCTTTGAGTGTGCCCATGGGAGGCTTGGTGTCCAGTGTGAAACACAGGCAGTGTTTAGTTTGGCTGTTTTTGCTTGTCTACCACAGTACTTCCTCTATGCTCTTTAATACCTACAGGTTTTGAGCAGTGAGAAGACTTTTAAAAAGTTGAACTTGAAAGAAATGAGGACAAGGCTGTCCATCTGTAATAACTTAGGATGCAGATGTGAAGAGCTGGACAGAGATTGGTCCCCTTCCTTATTGTCCTGCGGAGGGCTTCTCCCACTACTATCTCAGTGTTGTTAAAATCATACTGTTAATGCTAAGTCTCCTTGTTCTATCCAAATTGGAAAGGTTGTGTAGCTGTACATGCCATAAGCCAGTCTTCAAATAAGGTGTTCTTTAGGACACTATACTTGAGCCAGCCCAGAGAATTGAACCTCTTCCCCTACTTTAAAAAAAAAAAAAAAAGGCCACCTCCCTGTTGCTTACCAAACAAACCATTCCTTATACATCTTGAAGAGACTCCTACACTTCTAAATGTTCACCTAAGCACTACGCTCTGTTACCTGCATACAGGAAAAAGCTTAAGTGTGCAGTCCTCCAAAGGGGTGGTGGCAGCAGCCATCACACCTAGCAGCCTGGGAGGTGTCCCAGGAGTCCATCTGGCCATCTGGAAATCATTCCTGGTGCTTTATTCCATTGTGATTTTAGCTGTGAAATCAGATCTCAGTCCTCTCCCTCTACTGAAAAGGATCTTGCCTCTTTAGCTAATAATAATCAGTTAACCCCAGCTTAATGTTTTTTGTTTTGTTTTGTTTTTTAAGGGAGTATAATCGGTTCCTTCAGAACTATAGCTTGAATTTAATGTGTTCATCTGACATTCAGAAGCAGGGAGAAGCAGCATATTGACATGCATTTGTGTCAATATGGGAATGGGATGTTTAAGGTCATCTTCAGTTACATAGGGAACTCGAGGCCAGCAGGGCTAACATGAGACCTGTCTCACAGGGGAAAAAAGGAAAGAAGAAACTAAGCAGTGGCATGTACTCAGTTCCTAGTAAATGTGTATGTGCTCGTGTGAGCGTGCGTGTGTGTGTGTGTGTGTGTGTGTGTGTGTGTGTGTGTGTGTGTACGTACACGAATGTGTGTGGGTGCATATATGCATGTGTGCAAGCACAGCAATGTTGGAAATTTGGTGTAGTGACATCATTAATACAGTGATGCATCAGAAATATTCGGAGGTAGGAAGAGCCAGCTCTCAGGTGCAGCATGTTTGAGACTGGAGCATTGGTTACAAACGGTGTTTGACAGTGCCCTGCCTTGGCACTCTTCTCAGCTCGTGGAATTAGGAAGTTTCCTAAGGATTTCTTCAAGGTTAATTGAATATAGTGTAAGGAGAAAGCACATAGAAAAAGCAGGTGGAGATGTCTTCTAGCAGTTGAGAGTCTGTCCTCAAAGGATGTTTCCACAGCCGTGTGTCCTATCTGAAGAGAATTTCTGGGATTTGGTTTTGTTTGCGTTTCTTCTTCAGCCTCTGTTCATTCGTGCATGATCACACTTGTCATGAGAAAAGCCTTGGAGCAAGCTCTCAAGTGAACAGACTGCTTATCCCCAGCTGTAGCATGAATTCTAATTGGTCTTAATAATAAAAACCTGGAGTCAGGTATTAGGAGGTACTGAACTATCAGAGAAGCAAAGCAGCCAGCCACTAGCTCTTACCTCTGCCTCAGACCAAATGGCAATCCTGTCTCCACGAATCCTCAGACTGCATCCTCAGACTAACTGCCTAGACTGCATCCACCTCTATGAATCCTCTGACTGCCTCTCTCTCTCTTGTCTCCTCCTGCCTTGTATTTCTTTCTCTGCCTAGGCATATCACTCCTGTCTCCACTTCCCTAGTGCTGAGATTAAAGGTGTGTGACCCCAAATGCTGGGATCACCTTTGTGTGAGCTCTGTTGCTCTTTTAGACTAGATCAATCTCATGTAGGTCATGGTAGCCTTGAACTAACAGATCTGTCTGCTTCTGTCTCCTGAGTGTTGGAATTAAAGGTGTGTACCACCACTGCCTGACAGACTAGAGTGGCTAGCTTTGCATTCTGATCTTCAGGCAAGCTTTATTTATTAAATCATAAACAAATATCACCACACTCAGAGGTAGGCCACAAGGTATTTCTGTATGACTTCAGAATAGTAGAATAACTATCAGAGCCAGTTCTTTGAAGGTCCCTTGTTTCAGAATTCTTTCAGATATTATTTTACAGTAAGTCAGTGTAAATACAAAGCTAGCCTTCTATACCAGGCCTGCTAATTTTTTAAGATGGAGTGATTATTTTATATAGGTGTGAGATTATGGTTTGTGATATTAACACTAGGTCTGAAATATTAATCGAGGGTACAGTTCTGGTTAGTGACGACAGAAGTCACCTCTCACTGAAACCTGGGTTTTCATGCTGTTTCTAACTAACTTCTTAGAGACTTCCTGGGCTTGCACATTCATGGTCTCTCCCCTGTGGCCCACTTTCTCCTTCTCCTCCTCCTTCCAGTTATCATTTGAGCAAATACTTTCTAGCTTGAAATAACAGAATAAAATTTCTCCTAATTTCTTATTTTTGTCTCTGTACTCCCAAGGAGGAGGGAAAAAAACAAAAGGTTTTTTTAAGGGCTAAACTACACTGTGTATATTAGTAATTCCATGCTTATGTCCTTAAAGATTATTTCATGTTGAACCACCTCTTTGTAATAAATATTTTAAAATATGATATAAACTTGAAATTGTTACTTTTGTGCATGTCCCCGTCTGTTGCTCGCTCTTGGTTCCTGTTGGTTGACTGAGGACCCAGCTGGTTCTTGGTGATAAACGCTGTCTTTAACTTGTCATGTGCCTTGCAATGACATTGTTCTACAGATGACCCTATGTATAATAATCTTTTGAAGGTATCACTAGATAAGGGTGTCGCATGATCCCCTGCTTGTGATTATGGCTTTTGCACTTTGAGTGAGGAAACACATGTTCATACATATGATCTTAAACTTATCTGTAAGCTCCAAGAGCTGGCTTTGAAAAGGAAAGCCTTGATGTGCATAGGTTTCATTTGCAGTGTGTTACTGAAGAACGTATGAGAGGTCCCTCTTTAGACAGTGGGGCAGTTATATTAATAAGATAGGGAGTATGTTTGGCTAAAAAATAAAAATCTGGGCACCCATGTGGGTGCACATAGCATGCTTCCAGGTAAATATGTATGCCTGTCAAATAAAAGCAAACACACACACATTTTTTTAAAACAAAAATCCTTTTCTTCACTGTACAAAATTTTTCATAAAGTATTTTTTGTACATTTCAAGGGTCATGTGTTTAGATGAATGATCTTAGACAATATATGAATCACAGGAAAATATTTCAAACATATAAGTTAATATCATATGATGTCCAGAGGCACACAGAAAACTAAATCTAGGATAGCCTGGCTTATAGTAAATTACACAGCCCAGATTGGTTGACTTCCACAAGTCTGAACCTTCAGGAATCTGCTTGTTCCATTATCCTCCCTCCACTCTGTAAGTAATTGGATATCCATGGCACTGTGGGGATGGAGAGCGTTGTGAATAAAGCACAGTCTAAATGCAGCACAGACAGCCTAGGATGAACTTAATAAGAAAGGTGCATGAGAATTCCCAGAAGATATTGACTTTCCTGAGAAAGAAAATGAAATCCTGAATGGGAAGGCAGAAAAGGAATCAAGTTTCCTGAAAGAGGGTCCCAGACTGGAGGGTGATAGAAATGACAGGGCAGTGGCTTTTTTTTTTTTTTTTTTTTTTTTTTTTTTTTTTTTCTTTTTTTCCTGTAAGAATGACAGGAAGGAGTTCAGGGTGTAGGAAGTATGGACAGTGATATGAAGGCAGTTTTGAATAGAGTGTAGTGTGTATGAAGACTAGAGACATGTGCGGCAAAACTGGGTGATACAGGTTGAAACCAGTTTGGTTATGGAGATTTTTTTTCAGTTCTTTATGCAGGAAAGAGCTTTTAAAGTAGTGATGGCTCCAGATAGGTGATCAGTGATAAGGAGATTAAAAATGTTAAGTCCTTAACATCTCTGGTGGAATTCTAATGGGTAGGCGACAGTTACTTAGGAGCCTGAACCCAGAGCCCAGCCAGATCCTTACATGAGTCAGTGGAATTTCACTGAGGACTTCTTCAGTGATGCAGTCTGTCTAAACACCCTACAGCCCATTGTCTCCAGCAGTCACAAACAGATACTCCAGATTTCTAAGGAACATGTACTATTTATTTTCAGCTAGCCTATCATGGTATACGGTACTCCCTCAGGTAGTGGCGTCAAGTTTCTGGTCTGATGAAATGGGTAAGACTGAACATGGAATTCAGAATCCAATGTTAGATTTCATCCTCCAACCACTACCTTTCAGGAACAACAATCACTTTAGGTTCACAGAAATGAGTACCAGCACATGTAAGCACTTGGCTATTTGCATGCTTGTATAATTTCAGTCTCCTAATTAGGAAGAGCTATCAAGAATTCTATGTATGGTATTAAAAATATACTTAAGTCTCAGGACATAGTTTAGAACCAATTACAGGAAGATCAACTTCTAAGCAAATGGTGTGTGTTTGCTGAGGTCACCTGCCCTGCCATCACTCAACATTCATGGAAGCCCTATTACACATGAAGTATGTAAGGGAATTTATTATAAAATAAGGGAAAAATAAAAGATTGCATTCTGAAACAAACAGGCACAATGTGTCATTCATTCTCCACAGAATGTAACTATATATAAGTTGTTCATAAAGGACTCTAATTTTTCAGAGACCGGAGAAATCTTTAAGCTACTGTCTAACAATAACAGTTTCTAAAGTCATTAAATAAAATGCTATTCACACTTTGAAACATCAGTTTGTTTCACAAAGTTAGGAAGAAGTTACTTAATCCCCTCAAGTAATTGTCCTACCAGAGAATTAGTGTCCTTGGTAATAGTTTTTGTGTTTTTCCAATGATCAGCTCTATTGTCTATTGTCTGCTTGATTTCTTATTTCATGTGTGTGTGTATTTGTGCATGTGTGATATATATATTATATTCTTCTTTTTATGCATATATATGTTTGTACACACACATTCATGTGGAGGTTTGCAGCTGACTTCCGGTATCTTCATCACTCTCTAACATTTTTATTTATGTACTTATATTATGTGTATGAACGTTTTGCTTAAATGTATTTTTGTGCACTGTGTACTTTCCCATTGCCTGCAGAGGCCAAAAGAAGACATTGAATCCCCTAGAACTGAAGTTACAGACAATTGTGAGCCATCATGTGGGTGCTGGGTATCGAACTTGTGTTCTCTAGAAAAGCCAAAAGTGCTCTTAACCACTGAACTGTCTCCAGCACTTCTATCATTTTTTTAAAGGGCCTTTCCCTGAACCCAGAGCTCACTGATTGACTTGACTAGGACTGTGGAGTGAACTCATGATCCATCAACACAATCCTGGGATTACAGATGGACACAGCTATGCCCAGTTATCATGTGGGTGCTGGGGATACGAACTCAGGTCCTCTTGGTTGTACAGGAAGCACGTTAGCCCTTGAGTCATCTTTTGTGTCAGGAGACTTCCCTTTTGAAGTTCAGTATCACACAGTCTTATCAATGCATAGCTCTCCATTATCAAATTTGAAGCATGCTTTTATATCAGTATCAGTAGATGTTTGAGTAGTGGCATTCCTGTTCAAGTGTGTTCATAATGTTTTCATTACAGTGCTATGAATATAACATTATAGTTGGCTTATTGTCAAACTAAAGTCAGTACTACGAACTATTATTTCCACATCTTCCTTTTGTTACCAAACTTTTATCAAGTATCAACATGATAGATATTATTACCAAAAGAACAGCTTTGTCCACATTTAAAAACAAAAAAAAAAAAACAAAAAAAAACACACCTTTAACTTTACTCAAGTTTCAATGTAATTTGACAAAATCATTAGATTTTACTGCAAAAATCGTAGCACCATATCTGTTCAAGTGGTGCAAAGAATTTAGGAGAAGGATACTTTCAAATGTTCAATGTTATAATTGACATTTTTGGTTGGATACATGTATTCGTCCGATAAAAGGTATTTTTATGTTAAAGGACTTTATAATGATTCATATCTCTTGGGAAATTTCTCCTCTCTAGCAAAGTTCAAAAATTTTTCTCATGTTCCGTTACATGGTCCTCAGTCAAAAGCTCTAGATAAAATCATTTCATTTAAAGATATGTTTTATCAGGATGTAACTGCAGTGTGTTGAATCTAATGAGGGGAGACGAGGGAAAGAAAATTTGAGCTAACATAGCTCTAGTTTTTAGAGTGAAACTTTAGTGCTACAAAATTGGATTTTTTACAATAGATGAGAACATCCCTATATCTCAGAGGTGATCCTTCAATCTTGTGGTGGGTAGGATACCCACGGCCTTTGTAGGTTTGCATTCTAAATCTTCACCACTGTTTCATATGTATGGTGGAGAGAGAAATTAAACAGTAGATCTGGATTCATTCAGCCAAGATGAATGAAGTTACATCCCATCCATCTTGCCCCCCATCAGTGTCCCCTTTAGAGATGAATTAATAAGAGTCTATGGAAGAAGTTTATGATGAAAATATCTAGTGATTACTTACAAACCTGAAAAGGTCTGTTTTTGAGTATGCCTTTGTAAAGCTGTCCTTCCCTTTTTCCCATTGTTTAAGTTACTCCAATTCCAGATTATAAGAGAGGCAAAGAGCAGTTGTTTAGGCCCTTCCTCCAGTGTTACTACTGTCCTTGTAAACCGGAAGCAATTAAGCACTAGTGTACAAACATTAGTTCTATGTAACATCTTATGAATAAGGGGATAGTTATTTGTGGTTTTTATAAACAAACCAAGAGTATATTTGGAATTTACACACACGGAGAGCCAGAACAATCATCCCCATATCTAAAATAGCTCTGAAGCTTGGTCTGGACATAACGCAGGCCTGTCTGAGTCTACTCACACAGTGTGGTATCAGGAAATTGAAAATGGACCTTGTAGCCCTAAAGGGATGTCATTTGGAACACCTGTTTGGAGGGAAGTAGATTGGGAATTGTGCCTACATTGCTTCTTTCTCTAGCCAACCACTATTCTAGCAATAAAATCTGATCATTCTTGGGAAATGGTGCTACCTGTTTATATATTCAGTTGCCTTGCTCTGATGTATATAAATTAGAGCATTGCCTCTTAGTTATGCTTAAGAATGACATTGTAACATCTTGATATATAATCCATGAGTTGTGGTAAGTCATCACTGATCCTGCTGACTCCTGAATAAACTGTATGATATTGCACTAGTCTAAAGAAACTAAAATTATATGAGCTCTGTGAAATTCTAAACGCAGTTGTGGTTTTCGACTTTGCCAGGTATTCAAGTCTAGGAACTAACCTATTTGATTTACTTCCAGGTCTTTTCCAATGGACACCTTGCCAGTGAAGAATATGATGTTCCTCCTCGGCTTTCCCCTCCTCCTCCAGTCACCACCCTTCTCCCTAGCATAAAGTGAGTTCCATTGAATTTGCAGATTGTGTGTCCATGCATAATGATATGTTAAAGAGTGACTTTGATGTTCTTAGTGCAGAAACTGCAGGGTGAATAGAAAGGAGTTAGTAAAGACAAAAGCAATTGAGTTGTGTTTACAACTTCAAGTATCAGCTGTTGAGACCTCCTAGTTCTGATACTAGCTCCCCTTTGGGAGCTAACCTCCTGAGAAGACGAATAGAACAAGGCAGCAAGAAAGCTTAGTGCTCTCCATCCAAGGAGGGGCCAGAACCGCACAGCAAGTCTCTCCTTCAGTCTTCTTCTTGGCTTTGACCCACTGCATTAAAGTGGGTCAAGCTCCTTGCTTTTCAAATGTCTTCAGCAACCAAGGTCTGTTGATTGTCCTCATGGAGTTTCTCCTATCCAGTTAAGCTTCCCATTGTCCCCAGACTCACAGCTAGACTTCTGAAATACCCATCAGAATGTCATCATGTCTACTCAAAGTTGGTATCAGTGTATGTAGAGTTGGGAATTGGAGGCATGGCATGCTGGACCATGAAGTGATGTCTAGCTGATTTCCCCCCCCCCCCCCCTTCGTCTTATACATTCTCTTCACTGAAGCTGATTTACTTTCCCTCTGGATTTCCTCAACCCTCTTCCCACTCCCAAGCCACCTTTGCTTTCTCCTTTGTAACTCTGTCTTCTTCTGCTAGTGGTAAGACCCTTCAGAATTTTAACCAGCTAAAGGGTTTCTAATTTATTCCTAATGTTTGCCCTATAATTGTATGTACATCTGTCCAGCTTGTGTTTTTGATGCAGTTACCCCCACCCACTATCCCCATAACCCACTTCTTCCCCAAGATCCATGTCTCAGCCTCAGCTTTTATAAAAACACATTTGATTTCTGCTCAGTGATTAATAGTGATTAGCAATGACAGTCCTGGTAGTGTATACCTATAATCCCAGTACTTGGGAGGCTGATGCAGGAGGATTTCCATAACTTTTAGGTCACCTTGAATTATTTGGATCCCAGGGTGGCCTGAGCTATGGAGAGAGTCTCTGTATCAGGAAATAATAGGAAAGACTGTTACACATTCTTGTTACACATTACTGTTCTCTGTATAAGTAATTTTATCCTCTACTGTATTGTTTTCCTGATTTTAAAAGGGTAAAGGTTTATGCCATTTAATACTCTCATAGAACATCTTTTTAAAAAATTCAGTTTTTATTGCTTGATCTTTATCTGCTTATATCTTCAAGGCTTTTATTTTCTTTTCTGTGTTTGTTCATATGGTTTATTTTGGACTATGGGTCAACTTGTGTATCTTATACATGCTAGAGAACTATATTGACAACTGGCTAAGGTCTTCTTTTGTTAACAAAAGCTTCAGAGCATCGTCATTCCTTCCTCTTGCGGTCTTTGAACTCCCACTAGATTTACAATAAGAAGCTGAAACTCAGCTTCCAGAAATCTATATACTCTAGAAAATAATATTTTATCATGTGTGATGTTCAAAGGAGAACACTGCACCAGACAGTGTAACGCTTATTGATTAGTTTTAGTTTAAGTAAAGCTGTTAGAAACTTTGTCAGTGAAACATGTTTCATAGATGGAACAGAATAGAAGTCTCTGAAGACGGGCACAGTCAGATACCATAGTGCCTTGTGGGGTGGAGAGGGACAGAGTAGAATTGGATGCCATTCAGGGGAGAGCAGAGAAGCTGAGCTACTGAATATTCCCTGAAGGTGTTGCCAGGTCTGTGGGAGACACAGCAGCCAGAAGCAGTTACAAGCACCCTGTGTCATAGAGTCTACTCAGTGAGAAAACCTTGATAGTCTAGTTCCATGTGGACTCTAATGTACACGCAGTAAGACATCTGAGGTAGCTCTGTAACCTCTAAATTTAGGGTTTTCAGAAACAGATGAGATGAGATAGTCCTTGTTACCGATGATCATCACCACCACCCCTCCCTGGTGTGGCTGACTTAATTACAGCTGATTATGACTGGTGAAGGGTTTTGGTTTTCTGTTTCCCTTCCTTCCATAAATTAACATGAACAACAAAGTTGGAGCCAAGTTCATTCACTGGTGAGAGTCTAGTACTTCATTTTGTGAGAGCTCCGATATCAGGTTATGTTTCCTCTCCATTTTCTAAATTTTCCTCAGTATTTCTAGTTTTAATTAGAAAAATGTTTTAACAAACAGGTTAGCCCCAAATTAGTTTTGATATTGCATGTTACAGCTTATCCAAAGTTATGTGTTGGGTTTTATTAATGTATTTATTTGTCTTTCTTTTCCCCCTAACTATAACTAGAAGAAATTATGTAAAGTATATAAAAGAAAACAAAAGCATAATCTTAACAGCACATAGTCATACCCAAAATGCCAACATCCAAATTTAATGTGTGCATTTTTGTCATTGAGACCTATTTTATCATCATTTAGGGAATTTGTGAAGATGATGTCATGCTCTCCCTTGTCACTTGACATCATCATATCCATTTTTTCTCAGAGTATAAATACTGTTTTTCCTGTGGAAACATGAAATTCTGAAGTCACCCATAGAATAAAATCACATTGGGTTCCAAACTTTACTCCAGTATTCATTAGTTGTCCTATTTTGAAGAAGGTACCCTCTCTGGATGTCTAGCTTCTACCTGGCTAATAAATGACAGAATAAGTTTAACTTAAATGTTTTTTAAAATCCTTTGAGCTTCAACTGTCTATGCAGAAATTGCCATGAGTTACTCACTATGTGGTGTTAATTATACTGGAAATTTTGGTAACCTGAAAGTTCTCAGGTATAGCTGGCTGACTATATTCTGTTGCAGTATGAGCTGAGCTGTTGCCCTTACTAACATCACTATTGTAATGGTTATAATACTTTCCTATAATCATTATATTATTTATACTCTTATTATATCTGATATAATGGTGATGATGAATTTGTACATTGGATAATATCCACATCATTTATTATGAGTACTGCTCTACTTTGACCCATTGGAGAGTATGGTCTGGATAATAGAGAAAAGGTCTTAGAAAAATGCCTATGCTTGCTGACACAGGGCTATTGGAAATTTAGAATGCCCATTGCCATATTAGATTTCCGTTCAGTGTTTGAACATCAGGCCAAAGTAAAATTGTATATCACTGCCTAAAATAAACTTACAATTTTCACAAATGGTGAAAACCTCATGTTAAGTTCAGAGTACTAAAGCTAGAAGTAGCATTTGGTTTCAGCCATATTGTTCAAATAGCTTTCAAGATTATTAGACATTTGATACTGGTACTTGATGCCCATTTTCTTGAGGGTAGAAGATATTCTGGCTTATCTTCATCCTGGTGATCATGTGACTCTTATTATACAATTCATAATTTAATTCTGAAAATATGGTAAAGTAAAAGTGAACAGAAAGAGTAATTGTTTGTAGAGATACTTTATTTCCTGAAATGTTTTCTTTTTCTAAATAGTTTCTACTTAACATTATTGACACTTAACTATAAATACAAAGCTTTAAGTAAAAACTTGAAATACAGGTATTTATTATAATAACTTTTTATAGAGAGGACAAAAATTCCACATGGATTATTTTACCTTATTTAATACATAATATGTATTTTATATATAAATGTATATTGCATGTTTGCTTACTAATTACCATTTTTAAGTATAATCAAATAGAAAACTAAACAGTTCAAACATCTATTGTCCTTGGCATACTATACTTACTGTCAAATGAACAGAGACAATGTTACAAACAATAATAGAGTGGATATTTCCAACAAAAACAATGTTGTAGAATGCTGAAGGATGTCGCTACTCTCAGACAATGCTTTCCTTCTGCTTTGCTATTTACAAATTGTCATTGTACTGTTGATATATTAATTACAAGCTTTCAAATACCTTGGAACCAATACTACTTGGTTCATACTTTTCTTAAAGGGTTCTCTGTTGTAGGAGACAGTGGTGTTATTATTGTTACACATTTTTTAAGCAAATAAGGTACTAATTTAGGGGGTTCATTGAAAATAGAATCCAATTTTTGCCCAGCTAACTTATTTTCTTTCTATTTCTGGGATCCCTGGAGACTAGGGAGAACAGGATAAAGCCCCCATCCCCTTCGGAATAGGTGCTGTAATTAAAGAGAGTACACAGTAACGGGTCTAGCTGGTGCTGTTGGGTGTTGTCAGGTAGAGGTAGGTTAAGTGCTGGAAGGCAAATCAAAGGTGGGACCAGATAATTAATGACACACAGGCTTTCACTGGAGATGAGGTCCTGAGGAAAGGCCTCTCTCAAAGGGTGTGTTTAAGCAGAACCACGGGAGAAGGGAGGGAGAGAGCCCAATCTGTCTGTGTGAAAAGTGTGATCCCTGAGCACAGGTGTGTAGCGACTTCAGCTCTGTCTCCGGGTTAAAAGCAAATTTGTGAAATCGCTCACCGTCAAAGCTTACTCTAAAGCTCGCCCCTTCTTGATAGCAGGAAAGAACCCTCAAAATCACTGTAAAACTCATGCCAGTATTTTTGGCAAATAACTTATGTCCTGCAGACACAAAATAATCATGTCAAATATCAGTATTTCTTTTGCTGATTCTTGGGCTTTGGTTTCTCTGAGTTACAAATGTTTCTTGTGCTGGGAAGAACAGGGTAGCTCGAGAAACACAAAATGAAACATATGACAGCTTGAGCTTCCATATTAATAAAAAAAACATTTGTACCTTTACTTTCTGCCATTGGTGAGTGAAAAGAGATTCTTCTATATAGAAAACAAGTAAAATGACATATAATTTAAAATGCTTTTCTGTCTATGAAAGGTTCTGAAAATTGTTGCTCTCTCTCACTCTTTTTTTTTTTTTTTAACCAGCTTGGCCATCGTCTTTCTTTAATACCACCTCATTATTTTTATCTAAAAGCTTGTAAGTGCCCAATTATGTGCAGAGTAGGGTGATCCTTGATGAACTTAAGGGCTTCCTGAAACATGCTGCAATTCAGACAGAAATAGTAAAATAACAGTATAGTAAACACATCGATGAAAGCACATATTCTAAGTATACATAATAGGAAAGGTCAAGGAAAATTATTGAAAATTATTGAATTTGTTGTCAAGTCGCAGGGACTTTTATAGGCACCAGAAATATGAAGGGGTCCGCTTTTTGTTTTCAGAGAAAGTTAATGTGTCAAGGGTTGCTTCAATTAGGAATGAAAACCACTTGAGGGAGATAGCTGAGGTCTATCCTAGGGGTGAATGGCAATGGTATGTGCAGACAGTCAGCCCTGTGGTTCTGTACCTCTCTCTGGGAATGTGCCATTCTTGGAGGAATACATGTGTGACCCCTCGGCACTGAAAAGTTTAAGTGCTCACCAAGTATCTCCAAAGCTATCTGTGATGGCCTGGAAGTTGGCCTCTTCCTTAACATCAAGCATACACTTGTACGTTCAAGACAGCAAATAAGTGTGTGTTTAAGAAGTCTCGTATGACTTTCAAGTTAAAAGGATAATAGTTTTGCAGCCTGGAAAAATGTATCCCCATGTGCAATGACTTAGGAATAGCAGCAGAGTGTAAGAGACGTAGCAGAGCAGAAATTCGGAGTAATACAACCATGTTGAAGTAATGGGTGTAAATGGCTGGGTGATGACTGGACGTCTTTCACTTGGAGCCAGCCAAATAGCTTGCCTGCATTATTCCTTTGGGAGCCTAGAAATGTGACTTACGGTATATCAGTGATCCCTAAGTCCACCTGCTAGATAACATGTATACAGACAGTGATCCTAAGTTCATTTATACCACCTCACCTCTTGTTGACTTACACACAAAGGTTTGCATGAGTTTTTAGAGGGGAAAACTTGCACATGTAACTACACAGCAGCAACTTATGAATTTGGATTTGTCTTGGTTATCTCCTGCACAATTTCTTTTTCACTTGAACCTCTGTCTTCTCTATCTTTTTGTGACAGAGGTGGCTTTCATTCTTCTCATTCAAAAAATGTAATACTGAATGAAATATGCCGAACGGATTTTAGAAATTGGTTTGTGTGTAACTTAAGTAGAATATCATAATTTTTAGGAAAATGAATGGAGAAAAGGTGTATAATATTGACCAAGGTCACATTATCTCAGAAAAACTGAAAAATCACATGTTCTCCCTTGTAGTGTATCCTAGCATGTGTGTGTGTGTGTGTGTGTGTGTGTGTGTGTGTATGTGTGAATGTGTCGGTGAGTGTGAGTGTCACATGTATGTACACTATAAAGTGAAGGAAGAATACAAGAAATGGTCAATATTAAGTGAAGAGAAAGGATTCCATAGAGGTAATAGACATTTGAGTGAATATAAATTCTCATTGTTTTTTCTAGGGATATAATAGTAATTGCTTTTTCTAGTTTTAACTCTGTCATGTATCTTCCATTTTGTGGGGGTAGAGAAGTGCATAAATATATTTGATAGTGGTGGTATATAGCTATGTGAAATCCTTCAGCCTCTGCCTGGCTTCTCTATCTGTACAAAAGTTCTTTAAAATGTGTAGACTTTAGATCACCTTAATTTTACAGTGATGTCTTTTTTTAACAAGTTTTATCTAAAGTTTTAATGAGTTTTTAAAGCATTAAAACCTTTCTTAAAGGACTTTATTAAAATAATGAAAAATGGGAAATACCTGCATGTATTTTTTATATTTCAATATAAAGATCACATAGCTTTCTTCATTTCTAGTTATAACACACCAAAATCCATTTAACCAGATAAAATCCCCAACTAGTAATTTCTGACACTAAGCCCATATAGATAGAATTTGATAGAATTATTGACTTTCTTATTTACATCGGTTGTTTTCTCACTAACCAAAGAATGATGACTTTGCATTTAGTCAGACAAGATCTGTCAATAAAAGTAAAAATCTAGAATTATTCACAGCCAGTAAGATTTTTTTTTTTAATTGTCCATTCTTGCACTGGCAAATGGTCAATGGTAGAGACACTTGCTACAATGCCAGACAACCTGAGTTCAATACCTCGGACCTACATAGTGAAAGGAGAGAATAAGAACTGATGCCCACAAGTTGTCCTGTGACCTCCACACATACCTGACCACACACATATACATAAATAAATAATAAATGTAATATAGAATTAAATCATCCTTCATAATTAAGGGCTTCTTTGGAAGTAACTTGTGACAGATTTGAAGATTCCTGCCATTGGTGTGGTTTTTGAATCTTAGGTCAAAAGCATCTCTTTTCTCTCTCCATTAAGTTGTAGAAAAATAGAGTGCCCTGAGACTGAAAGCACACCAGGACATAGAATGGATGCATACAGGTGGCATTTGCTCTTCTTAGAGAGGCACACTGGTCCTTGCAGGAGTTGGTGAAATTGATGTCTGTTTGCAAGAATTGAGAATTTGCAAGAAAATACAGTTGTTTCTATCTCTATTAAAACTCTATCAGGTCATCATTTTGAAACGTATGTACTTGCCTACCTTTATAGTTGGAAGGGTGTTTTCCAAGGTTCAACCTTATTGGCTGCAGTACCTCAGTTTGTGAATGAATGCCATGGCCTGTGTTCTGGGCTTAGGTCACCATTAATTGTCACTGGACCCCATAGTACCTCTAACAAGCATGGCTTTAAAAATCAGTACTGAAAACTTCTTCAAAGAAGGGTATAAACTTTTGAAAACTCCTGAAGGAGACTTTGCTTTTATCCATGAACTCTCTAGAAATTTATCTATAGAGTTGAAACTTAAAAACCTTGGGCTTTCCAAAATATCTTTCCAAGTGGACACATACATACATGCACACACACACACACACACACACACACACACACACACACACACACACACACACACACACCACCACCACCACCACCGACAGTGTTTTCCTTTGTAATAACTGTTCATCCTAACTGACCTGAAAGTGAAATAATTCTAGAAAATTCTCCAAAATCCAAATCTTTTTGAGCATTGGGTTGGGGATGTACAACTGGTAAAGTATGTAAATGTTCCAAAATTTGAAGAAAAAACAATCTAAAAATTGTTTCAATTCCAAGGAGTTCAGATAGGGACACTCAACTTGTGGCAAGAAGAAATGAAAATGAAAAACGTATTTTGTGGCAGAAAGAAATGAAAATGAAAAATGCATAGGCGTGATTGCTTCATATACCAAAGGGCTCTTGCTCCCTCTACAGAAGGTGCTGAAACATTACACTTTTTAAAAATGAAGCTTTTCCTATGACATTCATGAAGATTAAAATGGATTTGGATCCATGTTTTTCTAGTATCTTACAAACTTGGATTCGAGCATTTTTCCTTTGTAATCTTTCTTGGGCAGTAGCAGACTTAAATTAAATTCCACACAGGAAGTAGAAAGTATTTTTCACTTTTATATATTTATCCAAATGATGAAGGAAGCAGCTCAATTTATCATGGTATTAGATAATTGTTTTATTCATTGTGACTCCTTTTACCAATTAGATATTGCAAATCTATTGCAAATAGTGCTTTTCAAAGTAAAAGGTTTAATGAATTCTCTGATTACCTGCTTCTAATTCTGGTCATGTTCAGCTCTTAGTTGTTGCCGTGGGAAAAACTCTAGCACTAGGATCATCAGTTCAGAACAAAGTGGTTTCTTTCCTGTATACTTTTTTTTAAACACTTGGTAATAGTTCAGTCTAAAAGTATGCACCTTTAAAGAGCTTCATATTCATAAGGTCCTTTCTTTATGTCATAGTTTACTTTTTTTCTTACTGTACCCTTTGGAAACCACAGGTATGCATATTTTGTGTTAACTACATTTTAAGGCCTTTCCATTTACATTGGATGTAAGAACGTTTATAGTTGAAAAATGCAAGTGACAAAGTAGCTTCTTCATTTGTGTATGTCACATCAGTCCTTCCTGCTCAAACTATTTATGATGTTTGAACCAGATTGGATTGTTTTTTTTTTATTTTTTCCTCTTGGTAGGTGTACTGGTCCATTAGCAAATTGTCTCTCAGAGAAAACAAGAGACACGGTAGAGGAAGATGATGATGAGTACAAGATTCCTTCATCCCACCCTGTTTCCTTGAATTCACAACCATCTCATTGTCATAATGTCAAACCTCCTGTCCGGTAAGAAGAGGAGCATCCTTGTACCATCCTCTATCTGCATAAACATCACCAGATAGTCAAGCTTGGGGGTTATTTATATACAGTTCAACCTTAGGTGTTTGGGTAACTGTGTAACTCCTGTTCCTAGCCCATCATTCCTATAAATTTCCTTCTTTGCTTTTAGGTAAAACATTTTGTTCTCCCCCCATCCATACCCATCACCGCCTCTCCCCCCACCACAAAAAGCCAAATTACAATCTAATAAAATGTAGCTATACATTACATGTGATGATTTATTAATACATGCATTTCCCCTAAGATATTTTAATGAATTTCATCGGCTCCAAGCATATATTTCATGAAGAAAAATAAGTGCTTAGAAACTAATATTAAGGTGCTAGGTCAAAAATCCTTAGGATTTTTCTTCATAATGTAAAGACCACTGTAATTTATATCCATTCCCCTTCTTGATACCTAATGTGCTTCTACTGAAATCATAAGACACTGAGGGAGGTGAGCCTTAACGTTCCTTAGCTTCCTTTCTGACCAAGTACTGTTTTACCTTCTCTTAAATTGGATAAGAATATAAAGAACACAGTTTTTCTCTTCTTTTTCTTTTTTGTTGTTTGTTATCCTCACTGTAATGGGCACATTCTTGGTCTTTGAAATGTCAGCCACATTGAGTTTTATAAGAGTTAACAATAATGGCTTACATATATTGAAATATCAGCTTTTCTTTAAGTAAAATCATGGCTTTGCATGAATATAATTTTATGTAAATATTAAACTGTAATAGTACTTATATAATATTTTTTATCTTACTGACATGTCAAGTATATAGCAATCTATTCTTAGCTTTAAAACTTATTTTCTGATCTTGGGTTTTCCTGGCTGTGTATTCCTAGAGATGTGCTTGGCTCAACTCTGCTCGGCCCCTGCTGGTGGCTGCCCTGACACCTGGAGCCTCCTTATGACTGAGTGATGGGATACAATGAACCCATCAGCCTTCTGTCCCATCTTTGCCTAGTGTCCCGTCTCATTTTGAGGCCAGGTCTGTCAGCTGATAGCATTTTATGAGTAGCATTTCCTTCTTTGGAGATGAAAACACTTCTCCAAGTGGGTCCCAAGTAGAAAAAGAAATACTTGGAAAACACACACACACACATTTTCTTTTTTTTTTTTCTTTTTTTTTTTTTTTTTTTTTTTTTTTTTTGAGACAGGGTTTTTCTGTGTGGCTATCCTGGAACTCTAATCATAGGCCAGGCTGGCCTTGAACTCTGAGATTCCCCTGCCTCTGCTTACTGATTCTGGAACTAAAAGCATGCACCACCACCACCCGGCTAAGTTTTTTTAAAAAAACAGAGCTGTGTCTCATAAAGGATGCTGATGGGTGGAGATACTACCTAGACTTAGTGATGCACTGAAGTCTGTGCTTTCACTGAGTGTGGCAAGAGCCAGCTATTTATTGTTAATCATGCTATTATTGAGTGTTATTTAAGAAGAAAATAACTGGGTGAGCGTTTGTTACGTTGGGAGAATGTGACCCCCACTGAGCTAGTAGGGGTAGTCTTGCCTTCTCCTCAAACATAAATTGCTAACAAATTCCAATTCTTTGGCTCTTACTAATGTTTAGTAATTTTTAAAAGCTGAAATTGAACAAAAATTTTTTGGTCTCTTTGGGAATCCCATTCTTTTCATGGCTAGAAGACTGAAGGATACAATTTGAATTCATCAAATTTTAATTGTCATGTCATAGTGGATGAGATTTCAGTGACTGGCCTCTTAGATACTGAAAGTAAATTTGAGTTATGACCATCATAACCATCTCCCCACAGATATAGAGAAGTAATAAATGTTGCTAATCCCCAAGCTTGATTGTAATGAATTCTTTATCTAATTTGTGCTCGAAAACCAATGGATGGAGTGACATCTCATGTCATCTGCAGAGTACTTCCTTTCTGTAGCACTTCCTTTTCCTGTATGCCACTCACCCCCCCCCAACATCAATGAAAATAAATTGTCAATATGTGGGAAGTGAAACAGTAAATGAATAATTCAATTCAGTTTCAGCAAAATCCATCATCATTATGAAGATTCAATACTTAACTATTCTTAAATGAACCATATCTTGCCCGTTAAAAAGAAGTGGCCACCAGAGAGAATAGAAATGAATTTTAGATGAATCACCCTTGCTGTATCTATTGAAATACCTACTGTCTCCTCCATTATGTATGTGCTTTTACTTTGCTCTAAGAAATCAGAATAATTCAAAAGAAAAGTGGAAAACTTCGCTTTCTATGGCTCTTTGTTAGCCAGCTGTTACTAAGCCAGATGCTAAAGAGCAAGTGTGTTCTGTGTCTCGTGGCCCTCCTATATCTTCCCATGCCCTTTCATCCAGTATTGATGACAACACCAAAATTATATCTTTTTAGTGAATTAATATTTACCTGGATTAAAACAATTGCTGTGCACCCAAATCACTTCCTTACGGTGTCAGAAAGCCAGTGATACAGGTTTAGACACTAGATCTTTGAGTGTTCTGTGCCAAACTTAAATGACACTGTTAAATGCTTCATAGTAGTTTCTCTCTTTTAACACCCTACTCTTATTTTCTTTCTAAGAATGCTTAAATTGCATAGACAGACACATTCGATGTAATCAGCAAATATTAAGGCTGGTAGAACTTACTAGTTTTGTGTGGCATATATTTCTCTGTCACTTCAGAACTTTGGTCAGGTGCAAGTGAAATCTTGCAAAGAGATACATTAGCTGCACAGGTGTGTTTAGGTTTTCACTAGCTCTTGATAGTTTTAGTAGCTCTGGTTTCAGTTGGAGAGAGAGATGCTTTTTTGCCTTCAGACATTTATATCTGATTTTAAAGTGCATGTCAGGGTAGGTGCATAATGTTACTAGTATTTTCTTCCAGAAAAGACAATTGTTTTTGTTTGTAGTCTTACTACCTCAGTAGGTATGAAAATCCCCTCTGTGATCCTCACCTCATGCCCACCATGACTTTTAAGTGATTCTTACCCTCTGATCTCCACATTAGGTCTTGTGATAATGGTCACTGTTTGTTGAATGGAACTCACGGTACGCCTTCAGAGATGAAGAAATCAAACATCCCAGAGTTAGGCATCTATTTGAAGGGTATGTATGGAATATATTTTCCTTTGCAATATGCATCTCAATGGTTGGAATTTAAAGGCAAAGTTCCCTTCTGTTTTCATACTGAAAATACATTAAGGTTTTGTGTTATCCTCTAGGAGATGTTTTTGGTTCAGCCTCTGATCCAGTGCCATTACCACCTGCCAGGCCTCCACCCCGGGACAACCCAAAGCATGGTTCTTCACTCAACAAGACGCCCTCTGATTATGATCTTCTCATCCCTCCATTAGGTTGAAACTTTAAAAACAGCTTAAACAACCACTACCCTCCTCTCTGTATCTGCATTATTAGGATTAAGAGTTCAGTATAATGCAGACTCTGGGTTGAGAATTTGCCTAATCTTAGAATGGTCCTCCAGGTGATGGTGGCTCCTGCGTTCATGTGACAATTATTCTACTGTAAAAATGAGTGGTATAGGAAATAGATATGAAATTTTAGGTGGTTTCCTAGCATCTTTTGTATTTTTTAATGTGTCTGAATTCTCTATAATAATTTACTACTTTTATAATCAGAGAAAAATACTTAACCTAGTTTGTTTTAAGCTATATTTCAACTATATCATCCTTTCAAAACTGAAACAAAATGATGACCTAAAAGAACTGAGCATCAGTGAGGAGTTCATCAGGTTGTCCCTTCTAGACTAGATTCACTGTTAATACCCAAAAGTGTTGCTCACTCCCCTGGCCTGTGTCCCAGTAGCATTCAAGTAATGGTCTGGAGGGGTTAAGGCAGATCTCCTTTCTTAGTAAGCATGAGCTACACTAAATTGTTTTTTAAAAAGAGTTTATTTCATTCTAGAAAACACAAATCCATTCCAAAGCTTTTCTGAATTGTCTGTTAAACCACTAAGAACATTAAGTGAACTTTCATATTTCCTGATATGCACCACTGAGCAGTATTTTGAGCTGTCCAATTACAATGTCCTTTACGTCTGTTTAATTGGTCAGGGGTTTCGTTTTGCTTTGTTCTGTTTTTCCTCATCTGCCTGATGTCTAAGACCTTCCTAACTTCTTATCTATAGTCTTGTTTCCTTGTTTGCTTTTTCTCTGTATTGGGTCTTGACCCATTGCCCAAATCTCTATGGTCTAGGTTACATTATTTAGTAGACTTCTCTGTGGGAGAGACTGTCAGAGATCTGTGTGCTTGAATCTGGTCTAGTGAAGTTATTTTTTGTTGTTGTTCAATATAATAGCCATAGGTGGATGATGACCTTGCCACTTAGGTATTAGAATAGAAGTGACAGCTTGTGTCTTCTCTTGGGCCTTCCTCTAGCTTATCCTGTGCATCAGTACATACTGCTCCCTCACTGACCCACACTTCTTGGTTGTCCTGAATATCTGTTTCCAAGCCTCTAGTGTTCCACATGTTCCTGACTGTCTCCACTCATAGATGCCACTTGGGTTTCTCTTCTCTCTTCTCATGAACTCTCCTCTATAAGACAAGAACAGTCAGACACTTGACCGCTCAGTCACACTTGTTTGTAAACAGGATTAAGCTTCCTATGATAGAATCTGAGCTCCTTACTGTTTGATATTCATGTCACTCCATTTCTAGTATAGCGCTGATGCCTAGTGGCAGGAGAGAGTTTGAGCTTGACTATGTGACATCAAGAGTCTGTAATGATAACAACTTTCTCGTATATCTTCCGGTATTTTAATTAGAAAAATATTTATGATGATTAGATCAAATATTCTGCAATTTTTGCAAAGCAAGCAGGATGAATGGCAAATTCAATTTAAGTATTTATGCTTAATGCATTCCATTTAAATACATGTGAGTTTTTATTATTAGAATATGAAGCTGTTTGCAGATAGCCTGTCTCACTGACAGCACATTTGATGTACATATTTGGAAACTATATTCAGCTTACTTAATTTTCTGAAAGGTTCAAGGTAAGAAAAACTCTAGGTAGTCTAGCAAAGTGTGGCAAGGTTAAATACGAAGACCTATGGCCACACTGCAAAATATTGTTTATGCCTTGTGTAAACCTTAGAAGTACATACATGTAGGTATCTAGCTATGGGGCCGATCAAAAAGGAATCTCCATTGACATGCTCTTCTCTGGAGATGACTGCTAAGTAAACAGTACATTCCCCTGCACTTGTGTGTGTCCTACGTATTTTGATGGTAAATCAAACGTTTGGAACAATTTAAATGAATTACAGTCCAGTGGAACAAATGTGAGGGGATGGCTGGAGGTGTTCTCTGGCATTAAATTCTATGTGCATGGTGTGATTTTTCTCATGAGAGACCATGAACTCTCTTTATTGCTCGGAGATTTCTGTTTTACTGATAATAATTTTCAGTACAGAGTTCTAGTATACTAATAGTACAAAGGTTACAAAGGGACCGTGAGCTGGTTTACAATCTGAAATGCTGCATTTTACGGAAAGGCTCAGGAAACAAAAAAACCTCATGGGTGTTTCAGTGTTTTCTCTCTGTGTGTGTGTGTGTGTGTGTGTGTGTGTGTGTGTGTGTGTGTGTGTGTATTTTCTTTACACACTCTCCCACAACATAAACAATCCCATTATGAAAGTCAGTGAAATGTTGAATAACATTGCAAGTGAACTTACTTAGAAATACTAGGAGAAAAATCAGTCCTGGCTTTTGCTTGACTGTGTGTGTTTTGATTAATGAAGTTCTACTTTTGATAATGACCTTTCTTTAAATGCAGGTGAAGATGCTTTCGATGCCCTCCCCCCATCTCTCCCTCCTCCCCCACCTCCTGCAAGACATAGTCTCACTGAACATTCGAAACCTCCAGGCTCAAGTAGCCGACCTTCCTCAGGGCAGGACCTGTTCCTTCTTCCTTCAGGTAGGAGTGGGTGAAAAGCCGAGGAAGAATTAACTCTTACAGTACATCTTCGATCATGCTGTCAAATTCATGTGTTTCCTGAGTCTGCCACACCAGCACAAAGAGTTCTGGGTAGTGAGAACAGTGCTTGGCCAGTTTGCTTGACACTGGATTGATTTAATGATGGAATCTCACAAAGACGGCAAGAACAATGAAGAATCATAGTGGTTGCCCATGGGCCCATTGGCTGACTCGACACCATGTAGGCAGCACCAATTGAATTTAGTGGGTTCTTTAATATTTTTTTAAAAGATGCAAAATTGGGCTGGAGATGCGTTTATGGGACAGAAAGCTGAAGGTTCGTGGGAGGGAGTTGGGGCTGGGTTGTATGTTGTACATTGTATACATGTAGGGAATTTTTGAAGAATAAGATAGAAGAGAAGGACAAAGGGAGCATGTTCTGCATATTATATGAAGCAAATAATAAATAATACCTTCAGGTGCCAGCGGGGTCTACTTTCTTGTAGTTTATGAATTCCAGGATGCTACTACCTAAGATGAAGTGTCCTAAGGTCATCCGCCCCAGGTAAAAATAAGACAAGCATATAAACCCAACTCTTCGATGCCAAGTTGTAGGCAGTTTCTGATTGGCTTCCTCTGCATTTCTATTATATGCATGATTTAAGTCCTGATTCAGGAAACCTCTGCGTACTGGCTTCCTGTAAAACAAATTCAGGATTTCCCAGAGCTAGCAGAAAATATTTTGTTACATTTTACAAAATGTTTAATCATTTTTCTAAAGAGTACAGTGCTAATGGTAGTTAACTAGTGGTAATCTTCACTCTGAAAATAAAACTTCATAAAAGACACACTTGCTAGACTGCAGTTGAGCTTCCTGCTTTTAGGATTGCGAACTAAAGGAAGGTCAGGTTGCCCAGCTCACTCTTTGTGGTCTCCCGATGTCTAATATTTCCTTCACTCGTGTACTTAAATTATTTCACAGTGCTGAGATTTGACTTCCTTGAGATGATATCCCAGTTTAAAGACAAGATAGATATCTTACAATAAAGATAATGCGTTTTCTCAAAATATATTAAATGCCTGCCTCTGTATGCCAGCCTTCTATGCCCTGCACAGCTGAGTCAGGTTCCGTGTGTCAACCTTACCACCCAGGGCCTTCTCTGTAGTTCACTTTTCAGATTGCAGGAGCTGCCTTTCTACAAAGAAACCTCTGGGCTCCAGGCAGATGGAGGAAGGGAAGCCATGCAGAGACCCGGCTCAGTTCCTCCTTTGTGTTTCCCATCTTGAGCTTTCACACAAGATTTCTTTTGGCAAAATTATAAATCCCACTACCGTGGGTGAGCCATTCATTATGAACAAGCCAATCAAACATTAACAAAACCGGAGTCCTCAACAAAAGCTCCATGATTTCCTATCCCTAAACCCAAGGCAACTGCTGGCACACATGCCTTTTTTTTTTTTTTCTGTGTAACAAAACGAGAGAGAAAGGAAGCATTCCTTTGTGTGGGAAGGGTGAAATAGGCATTTCTGCAGCTTCGTGCCAGGGCCTGTGCTTAAGCAACAAAGCCAGGCCAGCACTTAAGTCTTGGTCACACCGTGCATGGATGTCTTTGTGAAGGGCACGGGATGCACCATGTGTTTGGCAGCCTTGTTACAGCTTTCTCTCGGTGTTCCTCTAACCCAGAATCTCTTTTGAAATCCATATCCAATCTTAAAGCCACAATTCAAGTTTAAAGACACAATTCAAAGTCTTTAAAGACTTTGTTAAAGAGAAGTAGCATTTTTAACTTGTTGACATAGATGTTCATCTGCATAAATAAAATACAAAGGAATACCAGGTGATTGGCAACAGCTGTGGAAAAGAACACACAGCGTATGATTTACTCAACCCTAGTGATGGTGCTAGCCAGGAAGATCTTGCCATCTGAGAGGTTGTCCTCAGAGAACTAAAGTAAGATGTCTGCAGTGCCCTTCCCGTGTGGAGGCCGCCATGTTCAGATGTGAGAAGTCCCAGGGCGAATAGCACTCACTACTACTGCAGCTCAGCAGCGTCTTCTGAGGATCTTATGCTGTGAGGAAGAAGTCAGGCAGGCCTTTCTATGCTTAAATTAGACTCAGCACCACATTGCTGCTTGAGCAAATTGATCGCATTGTGTATGTTACAGTCTCGAAAAAAATCACATGACTGTGTAATTACACATTGGTTGAGGCATTTTTAATTGGTATGTTTTAATTGTAAATATGGACATTAGGTCCACTTAGTTTCTAAAGAATGTAATTGCCAACGCTTTATTTATTTTCAGATTTTCCTTATCAGAGGACAACTAGCAATTATAACACTGTGTGTAGTAATTATTCTACATGGTGCCGTTTCCTTTGAAACAGTAGCTCCACTTCCATAACTTTCAGCAGGGATACCCTTCACCTTGTGCCTCACCCAGACCAATTTAGGATTTTCCGTGGCTGTAATAATTTAGTGTATCCCTTTTTAGGTAAAGTGGTTTAATGGAAAACATTTTAAAACTGCAATTGGTGTATTTTGTAGTCCGTTTATAATGCTAAAATGTATACAGATTTTAACTTCATTAGCTTTCAGTGATTGTCTAGAAATACATACACATGTCTGGTACGACTGAATTGATGCTAAGACAATAAACAAGTGTAGACACTAGGAAGGTACCATAAAGCTGGTGGCAATTGCTCCAGGAAGAGTAAATGAAATAATAATTAGCTAATGACTTTAAATGATGCTTACCTTCTCTAGTTAGAAATTAGTATAAAAATAGGCAAGTTTGAAAGCATGTAAATGCTTCTTGAACAATCACATCCTATATATTACTGTTGTCAAATTCAAATGAATAACCAATGAACTAAACTGTAGCCCAACTATATATATTTACAGTCTGGCTTTCTTTATGTAAAGTCTGTGTCTGCATGGATTTATTTTTAGTGGTTATCTAACTGCCAAGCAGTTTGTCTGTTGCTGTATTTGAGTAAGGAGATATGATATAAATCATTTAAATGAGGAAAAGCCTGCCCTCCAAAGAACTTCAGAGATGGTACCATCAGAAGAAAATAATAAGAGGAAAACCTGAGAATGTCAATGGTGACCTATAAATGACTAGTGAGCCAAAGATGTCAGAGTTGGTGTTTTTAATTATTCTTCTGCTTAGAATAGAATGGGCACTTAGGCTTTCAGCCCGTGTACAACTAATTTAAAGCACTTAGACCTGTGGTGACTTCTAGTGACTTCTGTCTATACAGACACGTTTCCCCCCTTTAATTCCACTTACTGAACTCTGTCATGAATACTGAAGTAATTTTTGAATCTACTACATTTTACATGGCCAGCTTTTTAAAAAGCATATTTTTACTGCTTATTCAAACATTATTTATTTTTTTTTAGCAATTGAATTTAGTATTCAATGAGTCAGGCTGACAACTGGGTGTTAGCATATTTTGGAGCTTCCAATATAGTACAATGGATAAAAAATACTTTTTTATTTACAGATATTTCTGTATACACTAATTCATTTAAAAATTCCAAACTTCAGGTCTATTTACAGATTTATGTTAACATATAGCTTAAGGAGCCCAAGTGATCCAACAATACTCTTTTGACAAAGTAGAAACCATTTTTTTTCTTGTTTCTCAGCAGCTTTCATTCATTGAAGAGCATATGGGGGACAGAAATTAGAGGAGGCTAAATAAGTGATCTGAAAAGATAAATAAAAACCTGTAGTCTTCATTTCAGAAGTCAAGTGAGTAGCTTACCTGAACAAATGAATGAACTAGAAAACCTGCACAGTCAAGGTGATTATTACTGGTCAGATTAGTTGTCCAATTCATTGTGGGAATCTACAGTCATTCAAAAGTTCCCCTAATATTTTCTTCAGCTAATCAATAGGGATCATCATTTTAATTCAAAAATTATCTTTATTTTCAAGATCCTTTTTTTGACCCAGCAAGTGGCCAAGTTCCTTTGCCTCCTGCAAGGAGAGCACCAGGAGACAACATCAAACCCAACAGAGCCTCCCAGGACTATGACCAGCTCCCTTCATCTTCATCTTCAGGTGAGTTGGCTGGGAGCAGTAACAGTGATGTCCCATTTTACATAGCAATTTTTGCTCTGTAGCCTTGTCTTTAGTTTATTGCATTATACCTAAGCATCCACTTACTTTTAACATCCTTTGTATTTGGCTTATAAAGCATAGTACATATAAAAGCAACAGCCAGAAAACTGCCTCAGGAAAAGAAAACTGAGTCTTAATATTTTGTGTGAGCAGTCAGTAAGTCCCCAGTCTTTGTTTCTAGATATATTCATTCTTTTAACTGAAGTTTTATCTCATCAGATTTGAGGAATAGAGAAAATCTCTTTGTATGTCTGTCTATGCTGTGTTCTTTCATTCACATCAAGATAGAAGTCTCTCTAGAAATAGTAGTAGTACCAAGCCAATATTACTATTGTTTTTTTGGGAGTTTTTTGTGGGTTTGGTTTTTTGGTTGATTGGTTCCTTGGTTTGTTGGTTTGTTGGTTTGTGGTTGGTTTTGGTTTTTAGAGACAGGGTCTCATGGAGACATAAGTTTTTCCTAATAGCTTTCATTACCCCAGATATCATCATTCATCCATGTGTTTGACTCATTTGTCTGTCTCTTCTGCTTGTGTCTTAACACTTTCAAGTGAGGAGTGTCACCTCAGGTTGCTAGAGTGACTACCAAAGGCTAGGCTAGATGCTGACCAACAAATATGCATTTCTTACATTCTGAAAGCCGGGGAGGCCAAGAGAAAGTGCCAGACATTTGGTATCTGATGAGAACCTGCATCCTTCTCCACAGGTGACCATCTTCCTACTCAGGCATGGTGAAGTGCTGGGGCATTTTATATTAATAGTAATTCCTTGCCTGAGAGTTCCACCCTCACAACTTACTCCAGCACCACAAATGCCACCTCACTGAAAAACACAAGCAAGAACAAGGACTGGAGCCACACCACCATAGCCCCAGCCCTTAGAACCTGAAGCTGGAGCCTTGCAATGTGTTTTAAGTGTATAATGAGGTAGTAAAGCCAAGGCTTTACTGTATAGGGAAACCCTGTCTACAGACAATCCATGTAAGTGGTAAACAATGAGACCACAGTATTGCCATATCCAGAAGGATGCCCAACATATGTAAATATATAGATGGGGACAAGGAAGGGAGTATTAGTAACTGATATCTTCATTAAGCTGGATGCTTGGATTCATGAGCAACATGTTTAGTTCCTCTTTGTAAGCATCAGAAGTTTTCTATACTATGTAGATTTTGTTTGATTTCAGTTTTGATTCTTTTTAAAAAATGTTTTATTCATTTTACATACCAACTACTGTTCCTCCACTCCTCCTGACTCCCCCATCCCACCTCTCCTGCCACCCCACTCCACCCCCATCCACTCTTCCAAAGGGTAAGGCTTTATATGGGAAGTCAACAAAACCTGGCAAATTAGGATGAGAGAGGATCAGGCCCCTCCCCCCTGCATCAGTGCTGAGCAAGGCATCCCTCCATAGGGAATGGGCTCCAGAAAGCCAGCTCATGCACCAGAGATAGGTGCCCACTGCCAGGGCTCCCTCAATAGTTTTGATTCTTGAGCTCAAATCAATTCACTGAAGATTTGTTAAATAGTCGCACCCGGGAGTTTCTGAATCAAGGTTGTCGAGCTGCTTTGAAGGTTATCAGCAGTACAGATGCTCCATGGTGCCATACAGGAGATCCAGAATTCACTCAAAAACCCCAAAGGCTAACACTAGTATATAATCTGGGAAAGCATAGAGAACCTTACCAAGCTTGTCAAGCTTGGTTCCTGCTGCCTGTCAGTTCACATCTAGCCACTTGGAGCTTTCAGATCCCTCTCTGTTTAGACTGTAGTTCCAAGTAAAACATAGACTGATGACAGGGCGTGGAAACCAAGGAGTGAAAACATCTGCCAGTCCAATAAGGCATAAGAAAACAAAGCCATTAATGAAATAATGTTAAAGTAGACCTTTGGCAAAGGCACCAGGTCTGACTTGAAATAATAGACTCATCACCACCAACTCTGTTAAAATAAAGGTATTTAAGTAGTGAGTATTTAAGAGTTATCTCAAGATGCTGTTTTCAAACCATGGCTGCTTTGGTGTTGGCTCTATAACATGTGGGTGTTGTAGGCACAGGAGCATCACTCGTGCAGGTACTCAAGGGTTTTAGGTCAGGTTATCATTACAATAGGAATCTCAAGAGTGCTTGGAGTAGCAAACACAAAAACATCCACTTAACCTGACTGAACTAGTTTTTCCTCTAAGAAATGCAAGAGTACTGAGGGTCAAAGCTAGCTGTAGCATCAGATATTTCATCCTACTTCCTAAACTTTGCATACACTAGCAAAGCACAGAAACAGTGCCCTGTTTCTGACTTGTGTTTGTTGGCAGGCAGTATGATAGTTTTCCACCTGCACATCTGGATTAGGTGTCCTCATTTAAAACCTGGCCTAGATGCTGTGTCCCTTCAGGATTCTGTTCCTCGATAACCTGTCCTTATCCAAACCTCTTTTAAATGGCCTAACAAGGATTTGGGTGTGGTTGCTAATTCTAAAACATTAAATGTCTATGACCTTTCTGAGCAATATAAATATTTGATAGTAGCTTATTCATCAATAAACTATGAAAAGAGCAGTTCTGAAGAATTAAAAAAATATAGTTTCATCAATTTAAAAATACCTTTCTCTCAGGTGATGGCACATGACTTTAACCCCAGCACTGGGGTGGGGGGTGGGGGGACAGAGGCAGGTGAAGTTCTGAGTTCGAGGCCACCCAGTGGTCTACAAAGTGAGTTCTAGAATAGCCAGGTCTACACAGGGAAACCCTGTCAAATAAATAAATATGAATAAAATAAACAATAAAAACATCTTGTTTCCAACCAGGCATTGGTGGCACTCGCCTTTAATCCCAGCACTCAGGAGGCAGAGGCAGGCGGATCTCTGTGAGTTCGAGGCCAGCCTGGTCTCCAGAGCAAGTGCCAGGATAGGCTCCAAAGCTATGCAGAGAAACCCTGTCTCGAAAAAAAAAAAATCTTGTTTCCTTTTTAAAAACATTGTGTGCACAAGTGCATCTCCATAGCTAAAAGGTACTTCAAGTGTGTTTATTCATCTCAGAGGAAATATTTTATAAATTAAAAAATTAATGTTAGTATTGGTATTTCATCAAATGATTGAGATAAAAAGCAGTTGCAAAAAAATAAAGTAAAAAATTTCACTGGCATACTTTAAAATCACTTTGTTCTGTAATGAGGCAACTTTTTGCCAGTAATCGACTTCTTTACATGAGCACATGGCCCATGTCTCTGATCACTGCATGTAAGTTTTACAAAATATTGATGCTACTTCTCCCTTATAATATAGATTATGCTGGAGTTTGAATTCCTTTAACATCCCATAATGCTTGTTCTTTATTGCAGTGTTAGCCATGGTGGAGGTTATTCATATATTAGCTGTTTAAAAGTACTTCAAGGACTTGAAAACAATGCTAGAATGTCCATGACTCTTATGAAATTATTTAATTGCTGAATATACTGACCAAATAAGGAGGTATTATTATAAAGAGGAGGAACTTTAATGCTGTTTTCCTTTATTTATTATCAGCTTAATGGAAAATTGGTGGACTATTGAATAGAATGTTAAATTAGTAATCTTTTTGAAGCTTTCAGCTGGAAAGCATGGTTATAATCCACACAAGGGTTAAAAATTCATCATGAGTAATCACCAGTGACAGGGTAAATTGTGTTTAACACTTAGTTTTGTTAACACGATGGAAACTTCAGTATGGTTGAGCTTTACCAGTTCATCTGCTAATTGATGCCACTTGAAAACCTTCATGCACACGGCTTCAGTCTTAAAACCACAGGGCTAAAGTGTTTTTCCTTGAGTATCTAAAGCAGTCTCTGATGCTGCTTTCTGAACTCTACACACAGTGTATGTGAAGATGTTTCCTTTTGTTGTATTCCACTGAAAACCATATGTGAAATCATGTCTGTTGCTTAGACAGTGTCTAAGATGTTGTGGTAACTCAACATTCGGAATAAATGGGCTCCAAAAGTAATGGACTCAATTTATATTTGAGTAGCAAGATTATAATATATTTTGAGATTTCATTCATTCTTAATTTAGTTGAACTTACATTATTTCTTCTAATTATCAACTATTATGGAACATAAAAAAAATACTAGTCAAAGAGTTTTAATGCTTGTTCCAACAATTGTACTTATTATTACTGAAGGTCTATTTCCCGGATGATATGTATATGTTCTATAATATTTAATTTATGAAGCATTTACTGTAGAATACAAACTCTTATAATTATTTTAGAAAACTAGACATGAGGATCACAGAGATCATTTCACACACAAGTATAGTATACACAATTCTTTCTATGTCGGCATTAATATAAAATATGTTACTTTATATAATATATATGCTGTTATATACTTTAAAACATAGTTAAAATACATAAGTATAAATAAATGCATACAACTCTGCAATAAGCTTAATATATAGAATAAAGAAAACCAGCAAGCTTGAATAATTTGCTTAGGATCCCACAGAGATAAGTATCAGCCTAAAGAATTTAATTCTGACAATTTTTGTAAGCTGTTCACACACTTATTCTTTTACTGCTAACCAAGTTTATGTTGTGATTGCCAACATAATCAGTAACCAAGCCAAAACCAAGTCAGTTCATAATCAACAGTCTCACCTTCATGTAACAAAGATTGCTAAAGCACATCTGAATTCCTTTATAATAAAACAGGAACAATCATGAAGAAATAGCAGTGACCACAAAGGAATGGAAGGTGCTGATAAGCAGTAAACATCCCCATGACCTTGGCAGAGCCCTTCACTGGGTTCTTGTTGCTTTTTTGTATCAGACCATCCCTCTTGGCATCTCAGTCTTCATTCTTCAACAGCTCACACCTATGTAGCAGAAGGAATCTCATCTGCTTGTTGTGGTTTTGTGAATTGCAGGATTCTAGCTGTATACACTGAAGAGCACAATGCAATTACCAACAG